CATTTCAGTCTGGCTGCATCATTGTGAGGACTTTGGAGCATGAAAGAAACATCATCATTCCTTCATAGTTTGGGCATGATAATATAATATAATATAATATTATAGTAATATATTCTAGGTCTCGGTTATAATATAGTATAATCTATATATATAGTATACAATTAATTGTTAATTAATTGTCAGTACCTTTAGCTTAGTAAAGTTCAGTATAATGTCCACCCAAAAGAAAAAGTACCTTATATTTTAAGGTTTTTGAAGTTACTGTTATATTACTGTAATGGTTCTAGATAGGTGGTGGCTCCAATCTCCTATAATTTGGCTTCTGGCCCAACTTAGATCACATAGCACACCTGGTGTGAAATGAGCATCAAGGGATGTGGTCCCGTGGCAAAGGTCACATGACGCTTCAGGGATGATCTGCTCTGCTTGCTACATTACTCTATGTTTAGTTCAGATCATCAACACTTTCAGGTCCAAGCTACGTTTATAGAGTTGCCTTTCTGGCCTAGAATAACTGCCGATCCAAGCAGCGGAATTTGACTTGCTACAAAAGATATAAAAAATTGCAAAGTGGCATTCATGATATTATCTGATTCGAACATGGTGCTCCGTTGACTGGTGGCCATTGGTTCCATAATTCCTTGAAGTCAAATCTTGAGGTGACAGCTCGACAGACTTTTGGACTAGTTTAGCGCAACTCCTTCATCTTGTTGCATGTATGCAAGAGGGTAGGAGACAAGGAACATTCAGGGGGTTTCCGTACGTCAATGTCGGAGGGCTCGTGCACGCCATCTTGGTTGGGGCAATGTTCAAGTGACCTGTGACAGTGCACCCGATAACAATCGGTACGGGCAGACATCATAGAGGTAATCATGTAGCGGAAAGATGTCCATATGCTATCCATAGACGGCCAGCCGCATTTACAGTCTTAGAGCGGTAGTGGTGGTCATTTGCGCATTGGTCAAACGGAAAAACGCTGCGAAATCAAACTCAAAAACCGTGATCGGTGGATGATTGGATAAGCTAGCGGACACGTGTGCCCCAATCCAGTTCCGAACGTTCTCATGAACGACATTCATTTTCCTCGAACCCCATCCAACCATGGTAGATCTCTCCCCAGACCTCTGGCTCCACATTCTCTCCTACCTCCCACTAAAAGCCCTCCCCCGCCTCCTAGTCCTCTCAAAATCCTTTTCCGAACTCTTCCACCCGTCGCTCTTTTACGCCCTTAAACGGTCCGGCTCACACATCAAAATCGTCTCCAGCGACACAACACTCTTGTTACGCCCTTTTGCATTTTCCATTGCTGATAATGTCATCTCCTTCATACCCGCACGTCAGTACCGCCTTCACTCGCCGATCAAGGTCGTCCTAGAGGGATGGGAAACGGACGGCGAGGAAAAGGAGACAGGAGGAGACGATAGGGTGTTAGCTCTGGAAATGTTTCATGTGGCCTATCGAGAAGAATTGGAAAGAATTTATTATCTGGAGGGGGAAGAATGTGTGGGTGAAGTGGATATGGTTGTGCTGTATGACAGGGATGAGGAAGGAGTCGTGGTGCGGGAAGTGCGTGTTACACCAGGATGGATTTACATGGGATTGGGTGGACGCAAAACCCAGGTGCAGAGATCCATTCATCCAAACAGGATGAAAGCGCTCGTGGAAGTAGCGCACCAGAAAGGGCTAACGTCCTTTAATGTCCGTGCCGAGCCCGTGTTACGGTATCTCGTCTCTGGCATGTCCCTCTCCAAAGCCGTTAGTACACTTGTGGAAGGCAATGGTCTCTGGGACAGGCGCAGTAAACTCGAACAGGCTTGCAAGGGCCGCGGGATAGATGCGAGCATATTATGGAAATATGGCCTCGCCAAACGGTTCATGGCTAAAAAGACTCGACTAGATGAAGGGGAGTTGGAGGAGACAATTCGGAAAATGGTTGCGGTTGAAAAGTCTTTTAATGTCATGTTCTCTAGGGAGGCGGATGGGGAGGTGGAAAGGAAGGAAAGCAGAAGTAGATGGTGGTGGCCGTTTCGTGCAGGACCACCGACATTTGGAGGCGGCAGTTCATAGAGATCATTCTATTTTTGTAATCAAATATGACGTGCCTGTAGTCCAAGGCATCCATTTGCTTTGGATACGACTACACAAAAGACTGATCCAGCGTAGATTATAAAATGCTTCATGTATTATGTATAAAGACTCTACAATTTTGCCTGCGGACGGAAATCCTTCATGACGGCATCGAGTTCTACAAACGAGACTTGCATGAGTACATTGGCAATACGCGATGCAACATTAGGACTCACTGGTAGCAAGCATCATGTTGCCCTTGATCTTGAGCTTGCCTTGCATGAACGCCTTTTGCCCTGCACAAACATCAAACGTGAGCAATGGCGCCAACAGCATAGTAACACGGGAAGTGAGAAGACTACGCACCATTCAACTTTCCTTGCGACAAGTCAACAAAGTCCTAGAAACGTGCATCTTTAGCCATTGCTCGATAGCATGTACATGCGACCCAAAGGTCAACGGACCTTGTCAGCAATGGAAATGGTAATGTCTGGCTTGGCGCCGGTAGTGCCAGTAGCCACACCGAGGTTGTCCTTCAAGTTGAGAGTCCAGGTCTGGACCTTACCCTCAGAGTTCTATATATGATCGACCTTCTTAGTAGCTTCTCATGACGGGTCAACAACAAAGGGGGACCTACCTTGACATCAAACTGGAAGACAGCCTTGGCCTTTTTGGCAACAGCCTCCCGTTGTTGTTGAGGAGCAGCGTCAATGCCGGCCTATTGAAAATGTTAGCACTTGCCACTCTGCCTATCTTTAATGAACCAAAGGTACCTTGATTTGGGAGAAGATGGCCGACGACTGGAAGCCAGGAACCTCCACACCAGCGGCGGGAGGGGCGGCGGTAGCAGGGGCAGCAGCAGCTGCTGCGGGCTTGGGTGCGTTCTTTGCAGCCTTCAAGACAGTGTCTGTATGGTGTCATCACAGAGTACGACTTCCCAAAGCGCGAATCAGTTGTATGAATACCTAGTCGGGTGGCAAGCATCATCTACGAAGGAGACCTCTCAGCTTATTATTCAAAAAATAAAACATCAAAGCAAGCGAGATACATACGTTCCCCTTGACCTTCAACTTGCCAGACATGAACGCCTTTTGGCCTATCCAACGCTCAGAAATCAAATCTCAACCCGGATCCGACAACAACACGAATACATACCGTTCAATTTCCCACTGGCAAGGTCTTGGAAGGTGTCGTCGCTGACATTGATAACAATATCGGGTTTGCCTTCTGCTTTTCCAGCAGTGACCTTGCCTTGGTTCTTGAGCTCCAAAGTCCAGCTTTGTTCCTTGCCCTCGGCGTTCTTGACCACGAGTTCAAAGACACCGTTAACCTGCGTAGATCAAGTGAGTCTTTTTTGTCGGCACCAAAATATACCTCCATTGACAAACCTGCTTGAGTGTCTTTTTCTTTTCTGCCTCGGGGAGTCCCTCGATGCCCGCCCTGATTTGCTCAAAGACAGGGCCAGATTTGAAGCCAGGAACGTTGACAGACATGGTATAAAAGGTCAAGGAAAATGAAAGAAGATGGGGGCTGTACAAGGATGGTAGCTGTCCTTTTTATCTACAACCTAGATCCCCATCAAAAAGCCCAACCCACCACATGTGACTCGATCGACATGTGAGAGATTAAAATTTAGCAGTGTGACATCTGCGCACTTTTGGAATTTCGCGTTCAAAAAGAGCAACTGCCAAGAACTTGTAAAGAAGAGAAATGACGCAGGCAAAGAATGCTCAAAACGACGAGCAAGAGCAGGGCGACTGGCTCTCCACCTTGTTTGCAAATGGCGACAAAACACGTCCAGCTGCTACCGGCGACACGAGAGCATTTCACACCTCCCATCATGCCCTCCTCGGCGGCACACTGGCGGCCGTCGCGGTCGCTATCCTGGTCCATCCCCGTTCCTGGCGCCGGTACAAAACAGCAGACTACATGACCCCGCCTGTTATTCAGTCCAGGCGCAAACTGTACGGTATTTGTACCGACGTCAAGGATAATGACAACTTTCGGTTGTACCATACGCCGCTGGTGTATAGGGCTCTGGGGAAAAAAGTGCCGACAACACGAAAAGGTGCTTGTAGAGTTGTGACGCAGCTGTATAGACAGCAGTGCACTCATATAATGTTCATGTTGTCGTTTGCTGAATGTTGATCAGAGCTCCAAAACGAGACGATCCATGTGCGGTTAGCGGGGATTGACGCTCCAGAAGGTGCTCACTTTGGCATGACGGCACAGCCATTTCATGTCGAGTCCAAAGAGTGGTTATCAACACGGCTCAAAGGTCAGCGGGTGGTCATCAAGCCTTTGAGAAGAGATCACTATGGCCGAATGGTACGCGCGATCATATAAATGATTATGAAATCTAGCAATTCAAAAAAAAGTTTTGGAAAGGTGTGCATGGCGTGGACCTACCGTCCATTCTGGCCTTTTCTGCGCAACGTTTCCTTGGACATGCTCCAAGCTGGTTATGCGACGCTCTACGAGCAAGCTGGGGCAGAATACGATGGCATGCTGCTCAAATTTCAAAAAGCTGAAATGAAGGCACGGTATGTTGTCCATTAGCCCTACGCCGTGTTCACTATTGCACAAGGCTCATGGGTGGCATTATCGGTATTTCATTTTGGCCTAAAAAAGAGCGTCAAAAAAGGGAATGTGGGGATCGAGCGAGCCCTTTGTCTCTCCTGCGCAACATAAAAAGACTCGATCACGATAACAATGGTGGGCGACGAGCGAGCGTCAGTCCTACCGGGGCGCTTTCATTGTCCTTCTTGTTTAACGTTTGCCAACGTTACTTGAACGTCATTGCCCTTTTGACGAGGGGGTGGGAAGATCCTGACATGCGTGGGAAGATTCTGACGGGCGTGGGAACGCGCGTGTTTCCATGCCCCTTTGGCAGAGGAACCCTTCCGTGCCTGGCCCCCCCGTTGAGAGATCTGAGATACGCTTCTTTGAAGCCATCTTACAAGTAGAATATGGTCGTTGCCTCTGTTCAAGAACTGGACAAGATCGTTGTCGAATGCACACAAGACCAACAGATCCCAAACTGCGGCTCTATAGCTCTACGGGGATGATAAAACACGTTGCGTCTGCCTGTCTGCCTAGTGGTCTTTTTTTGCGTGCTTGTATCTTGGCTAATCAAAATATTGGATTATGCAAAAAGGGACCCTGGTCATGCGAACGAATAGCGTTTGGCGAATAAAGCCCATCTGGGGCTCGTGGTATCCCGGCTGTTTTTCGCCGCGGATTTCCTGCATGATCCCTTCGTGACGTTTTCATTCATTGAAAAACCATGGTGGGAAAAAACATTGTTCGCGCACGTTTGGCATGGAGAACGTCATTCCGTCCCTTTTTCTTTGGCCCTAACTTTGGTTCCATTGCTTTTGGAGAGCGTTCTGCTCACGGAAAGCAGACAAGAATAAGATACAACGCTGGGTTTTCAACCGAGGGGAATCGAGGGTAGATCTGTGGACATCCGACGATTCTCCAACGCATCTCGCAAACTACCAAGGCTGGGATCTACTCTTCCTCTTCCTTATTCTGCTGATGCTAATGCTGCTGCGGCTGCTAATGCTGATGCTGACCAAACAGCGTCATCCTCCTCAACCTTTCCTGGATGACCAAAACAAACCCTAGCTGCCAAGGTAAAGCCATTCAAGGCGTTCCCCGACTCCAACAATGTTTTGCGCATTGAAAAGAGTACCTGATTTCGTATTCATCATCGTGACATGTAACAAAAAAAACCAAAAAAAAAACAAAACAAAAAAACAATAAGATGAAAGAAAGCCCGTGGGAAACAATTAGACGGTCGCGTTCCCCTCCACTAGCTAATAATGACCATTTATGGAATATGCATGTGAATTGGAGATGCCCCCCCGGCTTGCATTCTCGCACTTATAAAAAGGAGAGACTTTCTTCCCCCCCGCTCCTCGCCCTCCACCATCTTTACACTGCAGTGTACTTGTCATCTCCATTCCTTGTGGCGCACCATTCCTACTTTCTTTTCACTCTAGCTCCTTTCGTCTTTCTTCTCTCTTACAGTTCTTCCTCCTCGCTCTCTTCCCACACTCGCACCTCATTCCACACTTTTTCCCACCCTTTACTCAACCTTTCAACACCACGTTATCCAACTCCTTTTTAACAATGGCCTCCCACAAGCAACAGCGCAAGCAAAAGAAGCAGCAACAGGCCGTCGCCACTCGTAATTCTCAAAAGGCTGCCGCTGAACGCAAAGGTGTCCCCCCTACCGAACCCAAACCTCTCAGCCGCAACGGACGCAGAAAGGCTGCTGCTCGCGCAAGAGCGAATAGTCTCCAGCAGCAAGAAGAGACAAAGATCCCCGCCATCCAAGATCCTATGAAACAGCCGGCAAGTGAGCCAATGGATCTGGAAATGAAACAAGAGTTGAACGTTCCCATCGCTCAAAACGACGAGGTGCAAAATGTCATTGAGCCTGTTAAACAGAGAGCGAATAGTCTCCAGCAGCAAGAAGAGACAAAGATGCCCGCCATCCAAGATCCTATGAAACAGCCGGCAAGTGAGCCAATGGATCTGGAAATGAAACAAGAGTTGAACGTTCCCATCGCTCAAAACGACGAGGTGCAAAATGTCATTGAGCCTGTTGAACAGAGAGCGAATAGTCTCCAGCAGCAAGAAGAGACAAAGATCCCCGCCATCCAAGATCCTATGAAACAGCCGGCAAGTGAGCCAATGGATCTGGAAATGAAACAAGAGTTGAACGTTCCCATCGCTCAAAACGACGAGGTGCAAAATGTCATTGAGCCTGTTAAACAGAGAGCGAATAGTCTCCAGCAGCAAGAAGAGACAAAGATGCCCGCCATCCAAGATCCTATGAAACAGCCGGCAAGTGAGCCAATGGATCTGGAAATGAAACAAGAGTTGAACGTTCCCATCGCTCAAAACGACAAAGTCGTTGCCGCCGTGGCTCCAGCAGCGGAACCATCTGCGAAGGGAGGCGAGATGCCTAGCCCACACCCCCTCCTGGTGCGAGCTGTGGGCGCCACTAGACCAATGGCTGCATTCGTCCACTCCCATCCGGCCCTCACCACAGCGGCTGGTGTGGGAGTCGGACTGTGCGTCCTACCACTTGTCTTGCTGACCAGTCCGATGATATTGTCGACGGCGGCGACGTACAAACTTTTGTGTCCAACGAGAGTCAAGGACACGTTACATCATTATTCGGCCAAGTTAGCGGAGGAGATCCGACGGGCAGCGCAAACTGTCTAGAATTCTTTGTTCTTTGTTATGATTTGTTTTAATTTTGTTTTAGAATCTGTTTTGGGTTTAATGGGTTTCTTGCTATCATTATACAATACACTATCATTATTTGCACATTTTTATTTCCATTTTGCGTGGACATGGCACGCTAATGTATATTATTTACAAATCCTGCTCCCAGCTGTACATACACGCAAAGAGTACCACGCCCGTATCTACCCAGCACGACTCAGGTATCCACATCCATCAACACCGCCTGATCTTGCTCGTCTTCTTCTTTATCAGAGTCAACCACTCCACTCTCCCTTTCTGTACAAGGTGGCACCCATTTTCCCCCCGTATACAGCACAACCTGCCCCGCCCCATTCCCACCACCGACATTCCACCCCGACACGTCATCCCATCCCCAGATCTGTCTTAACCGTCCTTCCAACCCTTCATGTACTTGAAAGGTTCCTTGATCCCACTGTACACTATTAAGAAGGGGAATACCATCCATAGGACTCGTCGCGGTCGCACCATCTGCAGCAGCAGCCGTAGGTACAGCAGTAGTCATACTGTCACTACTACTCGTAGGAGGAGGCGGAGGAGGAGGAGGCGAATACGGTACAAGCGCCATCGATAAGCAACGCTCGTCAGGCCCATCCAATCCCTTAGCCCTTTTGAACACCGGACTCAAAAAATCCAAATTCACAATCTCTTCATCGTGATCATCTTCTTCTCTTGCCCGCTTCCTGGGCAAACTCTCGCTCCTCACTGGTTGTTGCGACACCCTCCGCATCCCATCACAAAACCGCTTGACCGGACTGTAAAAAGCATGTTCAGCGTCGTCAAGACGTCGTTTACAGCCGTGTTGAGACATGAAGGGAGTATTGTAGGGTGCCGTCGTCGTCATGATGTGTGTGCTGGTAATTCAAAGGGTATCCTTCTTGTTTAAGCGGTTTTGTAGGCAGTGGGAAATGGGGGAGAAAGCGTAACGTTCGCTGGGAGGTTCTTGTGGGTTCCAACGAATTCGATGAGCAAAGCATGTGTGACTCTGGCGAGTGGCATAGTCATCGTAATGGCTTACACGGATGAAACCCAACTGATGGGTTGTGGACTGGAACTTTATTACAAACAAAATGATGATATTGCAAGGGACGATGTGTCCTTGCCGGGATACGCATATATACAGATATTCGGATTCACTACCCTGTTCATCCATAGCCAAAAACTCGTCACGTCCGACATCCCAACCCAACCCGACGCAAACACCGGCAAGAAACCGCAATAAACCGATACATAGAATGTCCCTTCAACTCCCGCGAGGGAGGAGAGACTCGACTCGGAAGAGTGCGTTGGTAGTCTTATTTTGCCGGAAGACGGCCGGGGTACCGTAGAGTGTGTCCAAAGAGAAAATCTCTTTTACCGTGTGCGTTCATAAAACTCGTCTAGATCATCGTCATTTAACTACACCTCTCCTCTTCATCAATCATTGGGATCAACACACTTGCTCGTCTTCAAATGTCTCCGTAATGCATCCGCTCTCGTAAACCTTTTTAAGCAGCCCTCCCCAGGACAGACATGAGCCTTAATCTTTGAATGGACTGTCTCATGCCGCTCTAAATCATGAACACGTAGAAATGTCTTTTTGCACTCGGGACACTCGAATGGCCTCGCTCTCGCAGGGTCGTGCGTCCGAAGGTGAGTCTGGAGGTTAAATTTCCTCGTGAACGACTTTGGACAGCCTGGGATGGGACAGGGGTAAATCTTTGATGGGCGTCGTCGGATCTTCGAGCGGGCAGGGGAGAGGCCTTCTAATGATGCTTCTGCTGCTGGAACCGGTCGGACGAGGTTACTGAGGAGGACGGCGAGGTCAGGGAGGGAGACTCTGATGGTGTCGGAAGGAGTGTCCATAGCAGATGATGTAGCGTCCATGGAACTAAATAAGGCAAGCCCCAAGCCATCTCCTTCCGAATGCAGCACAGCAGGATCCACTGACTCTTCGAACTGCCCAACCTCCTCAAACAAAGGCGTGCCACTACTGTATTCGCTCGCCTCAAAGGCAGCCAAAGGCTCCTCTTCAGGTGTTGGGTAAAATACACCCCAATCTACATTCTTGTCGTCTATTGGGAAATCCATCATGGGGGATGGATACCTGACCTCTTTTCCAAAAAGATCCGTACTCTCAAAGAGAGGGAAATCGAGGTCGGGCGTTTGGGGAGTGAAATCGAACGTCATGATAAAGCTGTGTTGGGAAATCTCGTCTTGTTGTTGTGCTTGTTCTGTGCAATTGCTCACTTTATAGTTTCCTTTAACAAAAATTCCCCCAAAAACAACAAGAAGGAAACCATTTCCCTTCCAACATCTTTTAAATCCCGCAGCGCGTCTGTGACGTTTCCGTGATCGACCAATCAGATTGCAGTGTGTCATGATGAATTACTAAAGCTGCTCCACGTACGCGAGTAACTGCCCCACAAGTAAAATGCGCAGTGTTACGTTTTTCAACTGCTACAAATAAAAGGAGGGAGGACGACGAACGAACGACTTTTTGGATTTCGGGATTTGATTTTGCATGTGTTTTCTTGGTATGGGTCTATTGGACAGCAATGTGTTGGGCCATCATGTTCCTTTTCCAGCTTTGGGTTGCGTCAAGGGAAGAGTCATCAACGTAATCCATATATATTGCTCCTCGCTTTAACCTGCAATCAGGCTTTCTTTTTTAAATTCCTACTGCAATTACCTAATTTAGTTTTTGGCAAGGTAATATGCTTTTATTTTCCTGTGGCCAGGGAAGCACGTTTTCAATAAAGTACACAAGAATCTTCTGCCCATAATCTTAAACTTTTATGTCCAAATCAGGACCATCCCATTCAGGTACAATCCTGTACGGATTAATCTGAATATGGGACATGTAATAATGCCGCTTGATGTGCATCATATTGACGGTTTCCTTGATCTATTCCAAACACACAGATATGAAAACCTGCTGCCGACACAAGAACATCGGCTGTCGCTCACCTTTGGCGTTTGGTACACTTGTCGTGCCCACCGTAAAATGTTGGGATAATCGTGTGTAATGGTTCCCCCGTTACATTTAAAATGGGTGTGATATACCTAGAGAAAAAGATGAAAAAGTAGCACATCCAAACAACGATAACGCGCGGTCCATACCGGATCAAACCTCACAATGGTCGTCCATAGCCTTATGTCAGCCTCCGTGAACCGATCGCCCACCAACCATTTACGATTCGCCAAAAGGGATTCAACGCGAGCGAGACCGTCAAAAACCTTCGCATAGTTGGATTCGTAAGCAGTTTGGCTAGTTGCAAATCCAGCCTTGTACACCCTGCATCCAACTGTTGAAAGGAGCTCATCCGTAACGACGAGTCACATGCGATTTCTTACCCGTTATTGATTTGATCGTACACCCATGTATTAACTTCATCGATTTGAGATGCAAGGTCTTTGGGGTAGTACGTTACACCGGGAGCCGTGGACCACTCGTCAAACGCCGTGTTGAGAATCCTAGGAACGTATCAGTAAATCATCCATTACATCATCCATTACCTCAAGACTGTTTTAACCTACCTGATGATCTCTGAACTCTCGTTATTTACAATGGTACCATGTTTCTTGTCCCATAGAACGGGCACAGTATCTATTATGAATACGTTAGTGCAGTTTTCCGCGCAGATCATGATATGTTACTCACAACGGCCGCTATACTCTGGGTCAGCCTTGAAATACAGCTCACGGAGGTATTGCGCCTCATTAACTGTATCTGGGACAACACCCGGAGTCTTCTCCCCGGGCAAACTACGCCAAATATGAACCTCCGCACTCAACGAATCAAGAACATCACAAATGGGACAACTTACTCAAACCGCCATCCCCCGTCTCCCAACAGATAATGCACAACGGAGAGCCCAATCACATCCTCTAACCCCTTCAAAGCCCTTTCCAAAAGTCAGGATGAGCGTCAAAAGGAACAATGTACCAAAGAACATACCGAACAATCACCGTCCGATGCGCCCAAGGACAGGCCCAACTGACATACAAATGGTACCGCCCAGGTTCAGCCCGAAAGGTCGCATTGGGCTCTCTAGACACTACACCACGGAAGGATGAATCCTGACTACCAGGTACGTGAGCTATGACTTTAATATTGTAAATACAGCGGTTGAACGTACCGACGGAACTCTCCATCGTTCGATGCCCATCTAATACCAAATAGGCGTCAGCTCCCGATCCCCCGCTGTAACCTGGCCGACAGAGAGAAGCAAGAAGATGGTCCTTACTTGAAAATCGGAGCTCTATCACAACGGTGTCAATAGCATATCCCAGTAAAGAAAAGCACGCGTTACTCTTACAAGTCCTTATTATCTTGTTTGGCAGCTCCAGCAGACATGGTTGAAAGCGTTTTCAATGACAAAAAAGCAAAGCTATGGGTCTTTACGGGGCGAAGCGAGCAGACTGTCTTGAAAATAAAAGCAGGACGAGGCCCGTAGCGGAATATCAAAACCATTTGAAAGCTGGAAGCGTCAGAAATGACCAGCACACCCGCGATCAGGTTTGTCATTGAGATTGGAATGCATTTCAATGTATCCCGGATATTGAGAAACCTGCTATGGCGTGCCTCTGATAAAGTCAGGAGAAACGGCCATGCTTGTTGTATTGGCAACGGCTTTGAGATTGGTCCATTTGCCCAAAGGTTATTTGCATGATTGCTCAGCACAAACAAAAAGAATGAACGTCTCATCAAAGACTGATTCACGTCTATTTGGTATTTATCCCAATATATCATCCAACCATTTCAAATCCTCCGCTTCTGCACTACTTGATGGCAATGTCGCTGTCCGGTTCTCATGGCTTGCAGGCTGGGGAACCGGCGGTACAGCTTCGGCGGGCTGATCAAGGTTCAGCAGCATATCCAAGTCATCATCACATGTGGTGGGCGGAACGTGCGCTAAATTGCATAACAGAGTAAAGGACCTTGAGCACTGTTGTACAGATGCCTACAGCAGATAGCGGACTGGTCATACCTGGCTCGCATGGGATCTGTGGTGTCAGTTGCAACTTTATGGGAGGTAGAAATGAGGACGCGCGGGATGATTGTAATGGTCCATTGTTGATCCGTTTCTCGGGGACATCAGGTCTTGCTATATTGAGAGCAGGTATCTGCACAATAGGTGGTTCGATGGTTACTGCCTTGTTGGTCTCTATGGAAATGGTCTGTACGGACGGATTTTGAGGGTTTGACTTTGGACCATGTCGACTGGCAGTTGACACTTTCACATCCACGTTACTGTCATTCGGAGGCGACAAAATCTCTTTTTCGTCCAACGAGAGTCTAACATGCAGAGGAAGACGCTTCAAAGAGGTCTCCAAGGCTTCGAAATTGATTTGGAGGAGACCGCCATACACCTTATGTCCAATTTATGAGTCCCATTGCACCTTCTTTTAAAGCTTGATCATTTCCTTTCAGAGAGACACCCACCTCATCCATCTCTCCCCGCCCATCCGCCTCCACGTCGCCAAGCAACTCCTTCTCCTCCCGAAACTGAAAATACACGGATGAATCATACGTTTCCTCTAGTCAACCGAATTAATAATTGAGCCGGACTCATTATAACTCAACCTATGATCCTCCCACCTGCATCTCTTATCAGCCGTCTCAACTCCTCCGTCTCTCGGTCGAATCCTTCATCGGCTGCGAGTACCTCCGCTGGTGTAGGTTCGTGGTATCGATATGCATTGCTCTCAATTTTTCGTCGGGCATACTTGGACCGGGCTTTTCTCATCGCGCAGGGATTAATATGGAGTTTTGGTGACGGCGACAGCCAACAATCCCTACTCACGCCGTTCCTCCGTCTCGACTATTTGGTTAGAGTCGACATTGGTATTTGAAATCTGGTCTGCGATTCCGGCCGGTGTCTCTCCCCGTCTTGCACCTCCCTCGTCCTTTTGTGGACCGCGCGGTGGTATGCCGTGCTTGGCTTTCCAACGTTTTGACGCTTTGGCTTTGTGTTCGTCTGGGCGCATGGTGCAGGCATGTTCAAGGTTGGTGAGTCAGCGTCCGATTGTACCACCTTAAACGTGTATGGCGCAGCAGGGCTTTGCGCTTAAGTAAACAAAACAATCGCACTTTCAGCTTACTGGTACCGTACCTGTTCCTGAATTTAACTTTGAACGTAAATGGTGGGAACAGGGACATGATAGGATAATGTCCACTGCCACCCGACACAAACATTGAAAAGCTATTGTTATGTGATCCAAGCTACTGACTTCCGAGAATGGCGCGAGGAGGAAAAATGTTACGGGCAGGGTGCTCCATTATTGCGCACCTTATTTTGAAGCGCATATCCTGTATTTGCCGAAATCTAAAGCGAGATACACCGCGTGAAACCCGTAAACCCAAATTTCAAATTCAGGATACCTCCGGCATTCCGACAATTCTAGCTATAAACCCTGAAAACGGGTTTAGCTAGCCTTACCTAGACTATCGTACAAGCAATGTTAACAATGAGCCCTTTTTTTCAGTACCTAGCGAGGCGCTTTTCTGTGTTATGCGCAATCATCGAAATATCGGCGTATCGGCAAATGTATAAATAATGGGAGGAAAATTGACAGTGAACCTTTAGTCAGTCTCATCATTTTCGTCGTTCGCAAACCTTCACCTTTCGAAATAACTATTATTTTAGTCAACTGCTGCGATGGCGATGGATGCCATTACGCAGCGTGTCATTGGAACATTCCTCGCTGGCATGGGAATGGCCTTTGTGATATGCTCCACCGTAACCTGGTCGCGAAAGTTTAACAGAAATCGAAACAAGCTTCTGCAGCTAGTAGTGCTCCTCCTTGCGTTCCTATTCAACGCTTTGATGCTAGTCGTCGCCATGGACTTTATAAAGCTGCAAATTTCAGCACGCACGACGGTTGCCGCTTTCTGCAATACCAGGATCAGCACGACCGCACAGTACATTTACATGTATTTCATGACGATACGACTGTTCTCCGTTCTAGAAGGGCGACAGCGTTTTGCTAGGGCGCTTGGCTATTTAGTGGCGGGGCTAATCGTCTGTTCGTGCCTGCTCAATGACGGGGCAAACTTTTATTCCCTCTCCCAATCGAAAATGAACATTGTCCTCTTCACCAACAATAAGTACTTTAATCAAATCGCCAAAGGTTCATCAACAACCGGAACCCTCCTTTACACCGTCATGCTGACCGTCACCGACATTCTCCTCCTCACCAAAATAAAGGGAATCAAAGCAACCCTCTCCGGAGGCAAGAGCAGAGGCATGGCATCGCATCAGAGGGTGCAGATAGCCATTCTTCTCATTGCCATCTGTGGAAAGATCACAGAAAGCGTCCTAAAGATCCTCAGTATGGCGACAACGTACATGAGTCTGGATTCTTACTTTCGTGGTACGAACATGGCGATCGAGATTTGGCAGCTTGTCGAGCTGGGTGTTACAGTTCAAGATGTCATGACCCCAAAATCAGACGCAAGCAGCATTACAAGCAGGGGTGCACATCGTTCGGGGACGTGAAAAAGTCAGAGCCATACACTTCCGTGGCACAAGACTGGTCTTCTCCACTCGGCGCCGGCCAACATACTTCAAAATCCGAGCTTGAGAAATGCAGTTTTGCAATATGTCAGAGCAAACTTTGTAATGTGCACTAAAGCTGTTAAACCTGATAGATCTGCTCGTAGTGATAAGTTCCGACCATCAGTAGCAAAAAGTGAGGAAAGAGTAACTGTAGCCCGGAATACCGTCATCTTCCTTTTTTAGTTTGTGTAAAAAAGAAAAGAATTGCTACGTTCAAGTATGAAGGTCATTTCGACCTTGGGCCGAATTGTAACATGGCAACCTTCTACATGCCAAGTAGTCTCCGCTACTTGAATGCTGCCAAACTGCTCGTATATGAGGAAAGGTTGCTAAATCTGGTCGCCGACGACGCCATAGGTAAAATCATCAAGCAAAGTTTGACAAAATTATATTGGAATGCAAATAACGTGCTAAACAAAAAATATACTGCATGGGCTACATATCGTTCATTACCGGCAACCTATTAACCCCAGCCCACTAATGTACACGATCATGGGATCATTTCACTCATCTTTTGCTTTATAAGTCTCAGGTACCTGCCCCTGCAACCTTCCAAATCTCAACCCTGACAATAAGTTCCTCGCCGCGTTGTGGTGATCATAGACTCCACCATTGAAGGAATTTGTCATGTCTCGTCCCAATCCGGCTTTCAGGAACATGCGTCCACCGGGATGATGATCAATAAAGTTTTCAACATCATAGATGGTACCTTCGATAATCAAAAGCTGCTTTCCTTGGTCTTTGACTAGGGATCGGAACTCGTCAAAACTGTATTCGGGGAGGGTTTCCAGAGGAGGACCCCATTTGAGTTTTGCCTTCAATTGGGCAATTTTCTTTTCTTGCATTTGCAATCGACCTTTTTGGACCTCGTTTTCGGGGAAGACATGGAGGTTGTACGTAAGGCCAAAAAGAGAGCAGAACCAGATCAACCATTTCGTTGGGTCGTATTGCCAAAAGAAGATGGCGTTACGGAAATCAGAAGGGAACTCGTGGTGGAAATTGTGGTAGCCCTCTCCCATGGTGATGAGCGCAGTGATAAAGTGGTCGCGAGGGGTGAAGCGATCGTCGAACGAGGTTTCGCCCAGCCAGTGAGCAAGAGAGTTTACGCAAAAGGTTGCGTGGTGAACAAACAATAGTCGGGTGATACCAGCCCAAAAGTAGCCGCCCATCCAGTCTCCCCAGCCGATACCAGCAACCAGGGTTGGGAAGACAAATGCCATGAACAGCATGACACTAAAGGAGACGACGCTGTGTGAGACTTTTGACGAAAAGGCAAAGGAAGTATGCAAACTTACGGAATGAAGTTCTTGTGCTGCCACATGACAATGGGATCCTTGTTCAAATCATTGATATCCACCAGTCCCCTCTTTTTGGGGTTTTCCTTGATCATCATCCATACTGCAAATCCAAATGTTGGCATAAACGAACCAGATACAGTATATAGGATTCGGAAACTTACGTATATGCGAATGCCAGAATCCCTTGTGGGCCGAATACGGATCTCTGTCTGTGTCTGTCCATCTGTGATGGGCACGATGGTGCCTGCTCCACCACTTGATAGAGCCTTCAGCAGCACCTGCCCCAGCAAGAGCCATAAACAACTGGTAAGGTTTTGCCGCATCATACGATCTGTGGGACCAATATCGGTGGTACCCTGCAGGCAACAGACAAACATGTCAATAAACAGGGAGATCCATATGCCAATGCCAATGCATCACGTACCGGCAGTTATACCGAACCCAGTCGTGAAATAGTACACGATGGACCAAACGGCAGTCTTCCATGTCAAAGGCACGCAAAAGACAGTGTAAATGGCAAGTAGGGGGATGGTCGTCAAGACGATCGTCCCCATTAGGTCGATGTCTCGCAACGAGACCATGTTGAAAGTTTTCTTGTTATTGAAAGAAGGTACGGGAAATGAGATGATGGTCTTACAAAAGGAACAAGCAGGAAGACCTCCTCACTTTATACTCCCGTCCATGTCTTGGCTTTTTTTTGCTGTCGTCATAAACCCGTCCTTCCAATCCGCTAGAACGGGCATTTCAAGGCAGAGGATAAACGGGGAATTCGGACCGCGTTGTGATTACGAGAGTCATGTATCCATATAAGGATATATAGTTGGTCCGAACACGTGTTGTGCCTGGCCTGTGTCGACTGCCAGTGGGCACGCAAGGGGAACGAATGCCACGTTCGTGTTCATCTTGGCGATTCCTTTTGTTCGTCGCTGATGATGGATTTTGAACTTTCTATAAAATGGAAGAATGCAACCTTGAATTCTTGGCATATCCCATCCAGCAAGAAAACCTTTGCTCGATCGCGTAGATGATCTTGTCACAGAATGATGGCTCAATTCTCTTTTGTTCGTGGCTGACGAGTGTTGTAATGGATTTTGAACTTTCTAAAATGGAAGAATGCAACCTTGAACTCTTGGCATTTCCCATCCAGCAAGAAGAAAACCTTTGCTCGATCGCGTAGATGACCTTGTCACAGAATGATGGCTCAATTCTCGCCCTCTGGTCCGACATTGACGACGACAGCACCAACCATGATGAGTTGTTGGCACACCTCACGTCACCACCGCGTCGTTGTTGCCATGTTAACAAGTGCGGCAGGGCTAAAATGGTCCGTCTACAAACGATTCAATTAAACTGTTTCCCGTTCAGGCAAGAGGGAAAAGTAGAAAGAGCGGCTGGAACATTTGACATTCTTGTTTTATTCACCCTTTGATGTCGAGATTAGACAAGCGCCTTTGGATCGATTCAATACAAGAGCATGCCATGGCAATGAAAATGCCATATGGACGCTGCCATGGCGGGGGGGATGAACTCCTTCCAGTAAGCAGCTACGCAAGTGTTTGCCATACACAAACCCCTCTAATCCATCGGCCATTCCCCCAGGCTAGGAATACACTCGAAACTTACGTAACTTGAAAGTAAAGAGACAAATTTTATAAATAAACAACAAAAAGTCGTGGAAATGAAACAATTCTGGTAAAAGGGATACAACTTGTACCGCAAATTAACAAATTTGATGCTAGATTTGAGACACGCGATGTTGGCTTAGTTCTTAAAATGTTTAATGAAAACATTTTCTCTTGAAAGGTTTTTTGGAGACCCGACGCTCAACGGGCGAAAAAACGACGACGACGACAACGACAAGCGGTTTTTGTTTTTGCTTCGACATTGGCAGATCAAACGGGCAGCAGCAGCAGCAGTAACAGCAACAGCACCTCATCGCCAGCGAGCTTTTCGTCTTTCCAGCAATGCCCCAACATCAGCAGCGTTCGGCACCTCCCTCCCTCGTCACCACACCACCTCTCTCTCCTTCTTCTCCACACTCGTCATCCTCATCGCGACATAAACAACATGCTTCCCGACAACAGTCCGTTGCTCTTGCCCATGACATTACATCCCTCCTACTCTCCCTTCAAGGACTGGCACAGAGATTGGATCCATATTGTTCGCCTGTCTTGCACTGGGTGACTTTTGTCCTGACGTGGCAAAATAACTATGTGTCCCTGTTATGTGGTATCGCGGTGGTTGTGTGCTGCTTAAAGTGGGAGTATACGGTGCATTTGCCGTTTCTGTTGGGGATCGGTGGGCTCGGGTTTGCCTACGCAAGGAGATTGGGTAAGTAATACATACCTCTGAGCAAAACGTGTATTGTAGTGGGCAAGTAACGAGAGTAGAAAAAAGTTGGGAATGGAGAAGAGAGCCTGTTCACCACAACATGGCACAACGGATTCAATCCATGATTTTGTTGACTATCTACTATGCAGTCCTATGCGACCTCTTGTCACTAAACAAACTTACCTTGTCGTTGTCACTGTTCCAGGACGAGGAGTACGCAAGCGATTTACAAATCCACAACCACCCACTGTCCCTCATTTGATTCACTACCTCATATCCGTGACGTCCACATTACATTCGTTTGTCGATACACTAGACTCCCTGAGTTCGCTTGTCACGTTTACCCGAAAGTCGGAACGGGCGTCGCTGGGCCTATTTCGCGCGGTAATAGTTTCTTACGTCTTGTGGCTCATTGCTACCGCAATGGTTGGGGTTCGAGGCGTATCTACTGCTTGCGGACTCCTCATCATTGCCTGGGGAAGCGAGTTTGGTCAAGTTTTACGAGAAACTGTCGCAAAACGCTTAAGCGATGTGGCAATAAGCTTGGGTATGCATGTCGAATGGATAGATGAAGACGATGACGAGGAGGATGAAAGCGAGACAAAGCGACAGAGGAAAGATTCAGTGTCAAAGTTGGCTGCGGCGGCAGCAGCGGAAGAAGCGGAGATGCTTCGAAGAGGAAGCGATGTTGCTTCAAGACACATTCTTGGCATCAGACCAGCTCCGCCATCGAGACAAAAGGCACAAGTGACTGTTCAGACAGCGCCGGCACCTGGCGCAACCGCCAAAAAGCCAGCTACAAAGACGAAAAAATCAACAAAGCCTCGTAGTCCCGCTATTCCCGGCATACCTACCACCGCTATTCCTGCTATTCCAATTACTAGAATCGTCCCTGCCAATAACGTTACTAGAGTTGAAAGACCCACCACTGTGATTACAAAGGATGTTGTGCAGCAAGAAAAGTCCTTGCCTGAGGAAGCAGCAGATGCTGCAAAAGCAGTAGAGCCATCATCCGAGCCACGCATTCCTAGTGTCACAGAAGCACCTGCCACTTCTGAAGCCGACAGTGGCCGTCCGACCTCGACTGGCAGCTCAACGTCATCCGAGTCTGGTCAGATTGGGAAAGACTCTCGGCCACGATCAGGATCGTCCACGGATTCCGATAACCATGCTACCCGTGTACGAAACCGCCTTGCTGAAGTGGTTGCTCGTTCAGCTACGCCGAATCAAACAAAGAGTGATACCCAAGGTCTGCCAGATTCGGCCGTTGATCTTGAAGGTTCACAGAACGAAAAAGGATTGTCCGAAGCGATCTCAAAAGATACAACGGAGACCATCACCAAAGAGGAACATGTTCCAGACGAATCGAACGTTTCGGTGGATTATCACCCTGATTGGACTTTTCCCGAAGACGAGACCGACGATTTTCGCAAAGAATTGGCGGGAAGTCTACTGCGGAACAGAAAGCCCACACCTTACCATTCTCCCGAGACTTCAGAAGATTACTTTGGTCCCAGTTCAAAAGACGCTGCCAATTCTGGCTCTGTGACGCTAACCGATTCCCTTCCCCGACGACGTGCCTCTTCCTTGTCCAACCCAACTATAGGATTCTTGAGCGATGCTGATCGCAGCCACGACACCGAGCCTGAATCCGGTTCGGACACTGAAAGCTTGGACAGCGTGCCTTATCTCCGGCGTCGTCGATCATGCGACAGTGACCTGACGATCGATGCGTTGGCTGATTTCTCTAACCCTCGACGCTCCTCATATATGAACACACCTCAACCCCCTTCACGGACCTCATCTCGCACCCGCGCTCCCTCGAATGCCTCTACACTCTCATCCGATTCGCTCTCCAGTCGCGCACGAAGTGATTCTTCGTCGACTGCGTCTGGAACGTTGAAGAGAGACTACACTGTCCCTGCAACGTTACTGACCGATGCTGATTACACCTCCCCCATCGGCCCAAACAGCCCAACCCTTTCCAATCATTCTTCTCGATCATCCTTCCGGGGTTCAAACCGTAAAGCTCTCAGCATGATTCTCAGTTTTGAAACCTATGAAAATCAGCGATGGTGGGTAGGCGTCGGATGGGTTCCCCATCTTCTGCCCACTGAACGCGGAGCATGGACAGACCATACCGGCACGAAACACCTCCCAAAAGCGAGCTTCGATCTCCCCGAATTCCGACGTGACCAACTAGCTCAAATGAACATCAAGATTGGTTCTGAAGATTCGGGGTCTGAATTTGGGTTGGACCTCGAGCACAAGCGGTATGCATGGGATTGGGATGGGCCTTGGCAAGTAGACATGTACGGCTCCACGACAGATGAAGATGGATGGGAATATGGAGATAATTTTTGGGGAGGCTGGAAGAACCGGAGAACCCTAAAGAGAGTCGTTAGACGACGACGCTGGGTTCGGTTGGCACGGCTATTTGAGTTAGGACGAAAACGAAGCGTTACATTTGGTACCAGTATCATTTTTGAGGAGCCTGTGTTAGATATTATTGGGGAAGAAGCACACGAGCATGCAGAGGGGAATGCGGATGACGAGGAGTGGGAAACTCGATCTCCGTCTTTTGACGAGGATGAAGAAATGTACGATGATCGCGATGATGCCCTCGTTCCTGGCGAGGGAGAGCAAGAGCGATCAAGGATGTGGCATGATATTGCGGGCGATATAGCTGGGGTAGACAGTACGGAAAGAGTAGACGTGCCACCAAAGCGAGCTCGAGCCACTTCTGTCCCGTCACCGTCGACCTCTACCTTTGGTCGACATGAAACCGGTCGGATAAGAAGTGGGTCTGCAGGAATATAAATTTTCTTTATAGATGCGGACCTTGGTCGTAGCTCTTAGCGACATGCAGAGTGTACGGGATATTGTATTGTTATATAGACAACTTGTATTTTTTGAAAAAAAATGATCTTTCTCGCTGATCGTCTCCGTGAAGTGTGGGATGGGTTTGCGTTTGTGTTATGGACAACAGCCAGAAGCATTGAACCTCATCACATGATCAATGAACAATCACATAGGACACCCACCATCACTGTTACCTCTCGATTTCATTCTGCTGGAACGGTGGGCGGCGTATCCATGGATGGACATCTTGTGGCTTTCCTGTTTGGCTGTATCGTTCATGACGGGTTTGTATAGAGATTATAACATGAGATATCCGTTAAGCCATAGCTGTAGGAACCTTATGGAGCAAAACATGTACCTGGTAAGCCAAAGGGATTTGTTTACTTGGACTCGTGTGCTATGCAGTGTCCGCAAGGTCCTATCTACTAGGGTTTCTAGATTGCAAGACTTTCCAATTGTGAAGCGCGGAATTCCAAGTAAGCCACAAAGGCAAGAACACAATGCAAGACGACATTGCAATTATTTGAGTAGTAGGAAAGATCCGTAGCAAGAGTATCCTTTGCATTCTAAAAACCCAAATAAAATATAGAAAAGCAACACAATACAAAAAACTATGCCAAATAACCCAAAACATGCACAAGAAAGCGACGGGAAAAGATGGTCCTTTCAAAAGGACAGTTCACTTGAATGAAAACCGGCAACCATGCTGAATAGCATTGCCAGCGCGTCGGGTCTCAATCATCATTTGGCCTGGTCAATAGGGAACATTGCTTTCAGAACCCTGATATGCGCGCATAGCATCTTGTAGCGTGAACACAAGGGGAGGTCAGCAATAGTTCCTCGAGTTGCACTTTGCCGCCTCTCGTTTCTTTTTGGGCAGTGTTTTGACTCCCCCGCGTGATCAACAACAGGACGTAAGTATCAGGAAAGACTCTGCAGGAGGCTTTGTGGCGGGAGGGGGCGGAAATCCCTGGGCAGCTCTGGGAGTATAAGTAGCGGGGGGAGCATATGTATGTGTTCAAAACCTACTTTTGTTGTGTTTTATACATTTTGTAAAAATCCCTCTTGGTCTTTTATTTTCTTGTGGAGCAACATCTTTAAAACCCCTAAATAACAAATAAAAGCAATAGAGAGGCCATGGGCTCACAACCATTTTGGTCATCCGTCCTTCGAGCAACGCGGTTGGGAAGCGCTTCTGTCGCAACGACGAAAAAGAAATCTTCGTCGCCTTCGAGTGCGTCACCTCTCGCATCGCCAGGGCTTGCTAGGGCGAGCGTACCTAAACCAGGTACAACATTGGATATCTCGGAGCCAGCGGGGGGACTGGCACCTTTATCATCATTGGGTTTACATTCCGACATGAAAGCTGGTCATTTCATCGCTGGGTCAGAGTCTCCACTTCTCAATGCGTCCCCTCCTTTGGCGACATTATGCCATCCCGAGTCTGATTCTGCCACACCGGAAACATTACCAGAATCCTTTAAACCAGCACTCCATCCCGCAGTCTCCAAACTGGTCGCTTTTGAAATGGATGGTGATCTATCCACCTTGAAAAAAGCGGGAACCCCGATAAAAAGGGACCCATTCTCAGACGACGACGGATCCTCCGACACGACAGCCACACTGGAAGCCCGCCAGAGCTCGGGCTCCATTCCCGGCTCCCGTCGTGGGAGCGTCGGTAGCTCGACAGGAACCCTCTCTCGCCGTCGTGTCTCCTTTGCACCCAGTCCCTCCATGGTCGTCAGTTTCGATGCCCGCGACGCACCCGCAAAATGCATTGAAAAGCAAATGTCCCTCCTGGACGAATCCAACTCCAAGAACCAACCGCAAGGTGGGTTGGAAGGTGCCGATTTAACGGATGGCACATCTGTCATTGCACCCGCTGCAGATGAGTTGTCCGGTCCCGCCGCTACACTAGATATGTCCAAACAAGAAGAAGAGGACGCTAGAGTCGCCGCAAAGATTCGTGCAAAGCAGATGAGGCAGTTGGAGGCTGCCAGGAAAGGATCAATACATCAGCAACAATTGTCGCAGCAGCTGCAGCAGCACCAACGGCAAGAGGAAGACAGACAGAGACGGAGCTCGTGGGCGCGCGCTTTTACGGCGAATGCGCTGGCAATGGGAGGGGGAATGGGTCCCATTATTACATTGTAGAAAGATGTCAAGGCAGGAATTTTGTCCGGGCATTGAGATGGTGGATCAGAATCTAACGTTATGTAGATTTCGCGGACATGAAAGTCCCGCCGTTTTGTTTTCATTTGCTTGCATTTATTTCATTTCATTCGCTTTTTTATTGTGTTTTTGTTTTGGGATCATGCACGGTCTTAATGAAAAAAATTGTCATCGTACAGTATTGCAAGGGTTACTTTAGGCCAGAGCTACTCTAGGGCGAAAGGGAGTAGAAGGACGGAAAGAAGAAGAAAAAGGGCTAACTTATTCGCGATAGCCATCAGAAACCCATCTAGCTAGTAAGAAAAAAAAAAAGAAAAGTGCGATTCTAATACTGTACTACACTATACTACAAATGGTGTCCATAAAAACTCCCCCGCAGCCGTAACAAGACCAAAAGAACAGAAAACTACATGCAAAAGGTGCGACCACCAACTGGACCTCTCGGTGCCCTCTAAAGCTTGGCTCTAATTCTTTCACATAGATGAATGACATAAGAGGTCAACCTTTATCCCGACTGACGATATCAATATCCATAATGGCGTGGTGGTTGATATCCGCTGTTACTTCCTCCATAGTCGGATCCTGGGGGCGGAGGGTACGCAGCCGGACCAGGATACGCTGCATACCCACCATACTCTGATGGTGCAGCATGCGACTGGTATGTCGCATATGTGGCAGGCATGGTGTACTGGCCGCCGTAATCCGACCTGGCGCCATACTCTGTCGCTGCATAGGCAGTTGGAACAGGAGACGGTCCCCTTCCATTAGTATGGTTGAGTTCCATGAGGAAATTTGAGCGAGGATCTTTCTCGCCACTCCCGCCAGCAGAAGTGGAGTTGATTGGCCGGGAGGATGCATTAGAACTGAGCGTATTTCCGTACTCGCGGGTCATCATTCTCTTACGGAAATCACCAGACGGTGCCAGGGTTGCTTTACGGAAGACATAGATTCCAAGAACCGCAGCTCCAATGGCTCCGCCTACGATACCGATGGATAAGAGGGAAATCTTGGTTGTTGACGAACTCTTGGTCTCTGCGGTCTGAGCGCCAGCTGTAGCGGTTGCGACACTGGTCGCTGTGTCAGTCACGGCCAAGGTTGGAGTGGCCCTGGAACGGGTAATGATTTGGGTGACCGGCGGAAGAGACGTGACTGGGGTAGCAGAGGAGATGGGCACTGAAACTGAGGGGACAGAGGTCTGAATTGCGGAAGTCACAATGGAACTCGGAATCGGATCAGTGGTCGAAGAAACGGACGGGATCGTCGCTGGCGATGAAATCGTTGCCGTTGTTGTTGATGAAGAAGCCCCACGACCACCGCCAAAGATATCTGTTGAAAACAACTTGGTTCACACTTCCTGACCGTCGAGAGCAAAGATATGCGCAGATACCCACCAGTAAAGATATTTCCCAGCTGAGGGTCTGCCCTCACATGGACACTGCCCACCGACAAAACCAGGGCTACCCAAGCCAACAAAGCCATTCGTCGAGCCATACCGATAGCGGCTCGTTGTCGGAGTCGCAAGGACATGGAGCGCGTAGGCTAAACCAACAAGTGTGCAGGGCAAGCAAGCAAGATACACCCCCGTCGTAGTCAACCTTGTTTCTTCAAGAGTCTGTTCTTGTTCAAATCCCTAGTTCCGTTCAAGCAGATGGGAAAGCTGATGGCCGTGAAGCCCGTTGGGAAAAAAAAGAAGGTTAACCCTTATTCCTTCCGTTCCCTCCAACGTACTTTTAGTTGCCGCAAAAAACGCGAAATGGCCGTCAGGCTCCTCCCTTTTCTGGGAAGGAGGTAATATGGCACAGTCATGCTATAATTAAACGGCCATATGAAACCAATAGTTTCAGATTCGAATCATGTCACGTGGCTATAAGTCTGATTGGAATCAGATTGAATGGATTACACTGCCTCCCGTCTTGTCCAATGTTGGAACACTTGCACACTTGCGATGGAGGGATTTGGAACGTCTTGTGCGATAAAGGTGCTGCTGATGAGCTTTCGACCAAGAGCTTTGTGTCCATCAAGAGTAGGCATAAAACTGCAATATTCATACCCTCCAGCGCACGATTTGGCCCATGTAATTGAAACGATAATCATGTTTTGAAATGCCAACATCCAAGTAAATGTTACGCCTCAAGATATATATTCATCAAATCATCTAGTTACTTTGATACATCCTGGCAACTATTTCACTAATGACATTGTCCCATATCCTTCGTGGTCCCTACATGTATCCTGCAATCGCTGCCCTAATCCTCACCCACCACCGGCTGAACCTGATCGAAAGTGTCCGGCGGGGCTTTGATGACCGAGGGGTGTCTTGTCTATCATGTTGCGGCGGAATGGTTCCTCATCGTAGTCAACGACATGTTATTCGTACCTTAATGCTGCTAGGTCCTGTGGAGACGCTGTGCGATGCTGTGTGAGAAGAACTCTGGTTTGAACGGCTGGCATTAAGGCAGTAGTCTTACGCTGCTAAAGGAAACCCTGGGTTCTGCCAGACTCATGAGGACAGTCGTGCCAGGTAAGTGACAGGAGTATGTGTTGTGCTGATTGTTGTGCTGATATTCCCCGTTGTAAATCACGGCGTAGTTGTCGTGTCCAGAAATTGACATATCCTCGAATACTCGCAAAACTACCAAAAGAGGTTTGTTTACAAAATTACTAAAAAGCTTATAGAATATGATGTGTTTGGACTTACCTTTGTACGCATCGTCACTGAACTCGTAATTGCCGTCGCCAGAATTTTGCGTATCCTGGTAAACCGTTGCTTCTCTTCGGAATGTAACCGTTCACATGGAATGGAAAAGGGCGGATTTCTTGAGGGGAGGGGAGCCATGCTGTCATGATAGACAAGATGGGAACTGTGCGAATGGAAGAACGGGGGATGGTTGGGGGGAGTGGGGATTAAATCGACGGTGGAAGAGACACTGTGGGATGCGGGGAGATTCAGCCTCACCCGGTACCTTCCGCATAAAAGGGAAAATGCTTTGCATTCCAACGTAACTTTTTGAGAGACCATGTCGCGCTTTGAAAGCCCCCCCCCCCC